AACTTTATTAGTTTAGACATTTTATTAGTTATAGTGTGAATGTTACTTTCTATAATTTTTATGTTTTATGTGTGTATGTATTTTATCACATATTCTTCTTACTAATTTTGCTCTTAAGTTGTCAAAAAAGCAATTTTAGGTAATGCGGAGGGTAGGTCAATTTGGAGGATAATGCTTGAGAAATGGAAGATTGAAAATAGATGGTTACCAAGTGCAAAGTTCCTTTAACAGAGGTAACCAAAAATTTACTGAATGTATGTTTTTTGAAGATGGTTTAAGGTGTTTAAAGGCTATTTTTTTTTAAATAAAAATTTTATTATTTATTCGAACTGAAAGTTACAACCATGCTCAATGCCTTATCCCAACACAGAAGCTACGCCATCCGGACCTTCCTAACTGACGGCAAGCCAAACCTATCTAAACGAAGTATGCCACGAGCCAACTGTGGTATCAATCGTAAGTGTTCATAAACCCTAACCTACTGTCCAGGGTGGGTAACTCCCACATTAGACAAAATATCCGCAACTTTGTTCGCCTCCCTGTAGCAATGAGCTATCCGAGGGGAGTCACCAAGCAATTGCCATATCTGCCAAACTTCCTTCCGAATGTGCCAAGGACACTGGAATGTCTTCTGCAGAACCCCCACCAAGACCAAGGAATCTAACTGGACTCCTACATTGCCGAATCCCCTCTGAGCACACTCGCGAAGCCCAATCAGAAGGGCTGAAGTCTCCGCATGTAGACTGGTAGTTTCCCCAAGATAGGCCGAGAATGCAAATAGCGACCTTCCGGATGAGTCGCGCAGGACATCACCGCCACCACCCGTACCAGGGTTACCCTTTGAGCACCCATCCGTATTGAGCGTTAGCACCCCAAACTCCGGCACTATCCAACGCACCAACTGAAAACCAAAGCCACCCACTGGGACACCCGACCAATCATATAACTGCTGAAACGTGTGTGCCCCAACTTGGCCCTTAAACTGAATCTCCAATAGCATCTTAACTTCTCTGAATATGGCCTGAATAACAGCTGCTGGATGCAGTGGTTCGCCTTCAAAGACGCCTTTATTCCTAGCCTTCCAAATATGCCAGCAAATAAAGCTAGGAAGGATAGTAAACAAGAATCGCCTCCTCTCCAATTTCTGCTCAACGAACCACCACGCACCCATTCTTGCACGCTGTAAGGACCCTGTACAGATTACCCCACACACATTCCCAAAGTAACCCCATACCTCCAGGGCCACCTGCCCCATAGTGAACAGATGTTCAATCGATTCGCATGATGGACTTTGACAACAAAGACACTTTGAAGGCATATGAAAGCCAAGCCTACATAGCGTATCTACCAGAGGCAACCGTCCCATCAATAATCGTAGTATGAAAAAGGAAATCTTCAATGGAATTCGATGGTGCCAGACGCGAGATAGAACAACAGAGATGTTGCGGGCCTGACGAACCTCTCCAAAAGCCGAGGCCAGTGTGAATTTACCAGATGTCGACGCCATCTATACCGTCTCATCCGCACGACCCGCTCCAGGTACCGGCTGTTGTAAGATGGACGGAATAATCTCTTGTGGTACAGCTCGAGAGAGCAACTGTACGTCCCATTCCCCATTACTGATGAAGTCCCCAAAAGTGAGATCCGGGGCGATGGTAGACCGAAGAAATAAAGCACCGTTGCCTAACCAATTGTCATACTAGAAGTTACACAAACCCTCGTTAACCTGCCATAGCAATGACAACTCCACCTGTCGACTAACATTCCACATCCGTCTCCAAGTAGCCGTAGCGGACAACCTCAATGGGACTTCGCACGGATGATCCCCCCTACAATATTTAGCGTGCAAAAAGGTTGCCCAAAGCGAAGATCCAGTCCGAAACCTCCACCATAATTTGCACGAAAAAGCTCGATAAACATCCCGAAGCCTGCGAAATCCTGCGCCCCCCTCCTCCACCGGGTAGCATAAGTGAGACCATCGTATCCAGTGGAACTTCAATTTCTCATCCAGTGATCCCCACAAGAAGTTTGCACAAACCTTTTCAATCATTGCGAATACCGAGTTCGGCAACACCGCTGCCGAGAGCAAATAGACAGGTATAGCCGCAAGAACATGTTTAATAAGGATTAACTTCCCACCTGGAGATAGAAGCCTTGACTTCCATGACATCACCCTTCCCAAAATAGTTTGGCTCACTACCCCAAAATACGACGACCGACACCTGCCCAAGTACAGCGGGAATCCCAAGTAGCGAAATAGAAGAGCCTGCCTAGTAAATTTCGTGACCCACTCAATCAACCTTCATCAAGACGGAGGCAGAGATGGATGAGTCACATATCTGCTTTTTTGAGCATTTACCAACTGCCCCGAGGAATGCTGGTACAACTCCAAAACCCGCATAATGTGCTACAAAGAATTGGAAGAACCATTCGCAAATATAAGTACATCATCCGCAAAAGCCAAGTGGGTGATAGGAGGACACCCATGGGGAACTCTAAACCCGACAAACCCTGGTTGTAGAGCCATGTCATTCAGACCTCGCGACAGCACCTCAGCACCTATGACAAATAGTGCCGGCGACAATGGATCACCCTGACGCAACCCCCTAGCCGACTTAAAAAATCCATGTGATGCACCATTGACAATGACTGAGAACCATACATTAGAGAGTAGACGCCAAACCCTGTCTATGAACTGCTCTCCAAACCTGAACCTCCGCAACACATTAACAATATGAAACCAGGACACCCTATCGTATGCCTTAGACATGTCCAACTTAAGGGCGACATTACCCCCTCTAGCGGACTTGCCAATGCCCGACATCAATTCTTGGGCCAACAAATAATTTTCCGTTATATTCCGCCCCTTAACAAAACCCGTCTGCTGGGGGGAGATAATCTTTGGCAAAATAGAGGATAGCCTGTCGGCCAAAAGTCTAGACAACAGTTGATTAAAAAAATTGCAGAGACTAATCGGTCTAAACATTGAAAAGTCCTGGGGATTTGACACTTTAAGGATAAGCACAATAGAGGTGGAAGTAATGAACTTAGGCAAATCAGCCCCATAGAAGAAGCTTAGCACCGCATTATAGACATCTTAGGCAATGACATCCCAAGAAAATGTAAAGAACTTACCTGTGAATCCATCTGGGCCCGTAGCACTTGCCCGGTCCATTGCAAAAACCACTCGTCGAACCTTTTCCATGGTTGGGACCTACTCCAAGGACTTATTATCCTCCTCCGTAATTAATAGGGGAATTAAGTGCATCAGCTCCTGTACAGGGGCAGTAGGCTCAGAAAACAGGTCCGAGAAGAACGTGATCGCCTCAAATGCTATTTCCTCATCCTTTTCCACCCAGGAACCCCGTGAGTTCTTAATCCGATGGATGGCGCTCTGTACCCTTCGTTGCTTCACCACTGCATGAAAAAATTTGGAATTCCGATCTCCACTTTGAAGCCACCGCACTCGGGCATTTTGCCTCCAGAATTGCTCCTCAAGAGCCAGGGCCCGACTTAGGTCCGCCTGAGCCCTTTCAAGTCCATCTTGTGCCAGCTCAACCTCATTGCCCTCCACCTCCACCTCAGCCCTTCGAACCGCATTCTCTGCCACCCGAACCATATCGAAAATGTTACCAAAGGATTGCTTGTTCCACTCCTAGATAGCCCTCCTAGTTGCCAACAGTTTCAAACACAAGACCCGCAGCGCAGCCCCCCAAGCACCTCTAATGACCTCTATCAGAGCGGCCTGAGAAGTCCAAACGTTCAAGAATCGAAACGGCCTTGGTTTGTTGTCTAATCGAGTAGCAAACGAAATTCGTAGAGGAGCATGATCTGATGGGTGTCGCGCTAAATGCTCTACGGAGATGATGGAAGAGACCTCCGTACATTCCCCATTTATTAACACTCTATCCAATCGCTTCCAAATTTTAGCTCTACCTCTCTGATTGTTGCACCATGTAAAGTTAGCACCCGAAAAACCCACGTCAAAAACGCCAGCCGCCTCCATAAAAGACATGAGCTCCACCCCCTCATGAACCCCAACCGGCCGACCCCCACGCTTGTCATGGGGAGCCATAACAACATTAAGATCCCCCCCAATACACCATGGAAGGAAACTAGGTTTATCAGCAAGAATGTTCTGCCAAAGTTCTCTTCACTCTTCCAAAGAGCACTTGGCGTGAACAAAAGAAAAAATGATAGAACCGGGTAACTGTGGATGCTGAATAGATAAGGAAATATGCCGGGTTGATTTACCTATAACCGTACAACTGAAAGGATTGCAATAAAAAATCCAGATGTCATCCGACAATTTTGTAATAGCTGAATTGAATGCCAGACGCAAACGAATGAAGTCAACTTTAGACACATCAGATTTGGGCTCACAAATAACAGCAAACTTGACACCATACAACCTTCTTAATTTTATCAATCTCCTAAGATTGGGGCCTTTAGAAACCCCGCGAATATTCCAGAAAATTACGTTAATCATGAGCCAAAACCTGGAAGGAGTTATAGGTTGGTGTTGTAGACCTCAACTGGCGATCAGAGGGGATACGCGCACGGCCACCTTTCCCTCGCCCTTGCTTGATACCTTGCACCCATTAGTGACCTGGTCGATGTTTAACGCCTGGACCGATGACTCCATTACGCTGTCCTATCGCACAACCATTCGTGGGGATAAACTGCCAGCCGCAATAGGTAACTCAACGTACACCTCTGCAATCTCCCCCTCCTCAACCCCCTCGACCCCTGTCCAAACGCGGAGCCTGCACGCCACCCCCGTCCAGGCTGGTGTCCTTCGAAAGGGTCGCCTGCCCGTCGCCAATGTGCCGCTGCTCAGGCTGCAATAGCTCGCTGCCTTGTCCTGGCTCCTTGGCATCCGAACTCCCATCTGCATCCCCCTTCCCCGAATCCCTACACTCCTGCTCCTTGGGCCTGACCTCTACACTCACAATGCTCCCCTCAACTTCGTGCTGCCCAGGTCCCTGTCGCGCGCCATCCTACGGAGCCGCAGCGTCCACCCCCTCACTCAGGTGCAGCCCCTTCGTGAAGCTCTCCCCCGCCAGTGTTAGCATTAGCACAGGTAATGGGTCCTCCTCCCGTAGCTTTGAAGTTCCCTGGGTCTCCTTAACCGAGACCTCCTCTATTTGCTTACTATCTGCAGCTGCCTGGGGCACCTGCGATGCCACCGCAATGCGCTTGGGGACTTGACGACTCGCAAATCCCTCCCTCTTACAGTCACCAACAGCATGACCCACCCGCCAACATTTTGAACAATACGATGGCAGATCTTCTATGACAATCTGCTGCCAGAAACCTGTCTCACCCTCCACTGCAACCCAAACTCTGGAGCAGATGGGTTTTACCAAATCCACTTCCACACATACCTTGGCCACACTAGGCCGTGTGCCCGCTGCCGTTGCCGTATCCAAAAATAACGGCTTCCCTACTAGAGAAAGGATGGAGAACAGAGAATGTTTATCGAAAAAGTGTACTGGTAAGGCTGGTAATGTTACCCAAACTGGAGCGAGAGAGGATTCTTTCTGAACATGGAAGTCCCTTGTCCAACGAAACACTCTCATTGGAAACCTACCCAATTGCCAAATCCCTCGTGTCCATAGTCTATTGAAATCCACCTCTGTCGAGCATTTGATAAGTACATGGCGATAATCCAGCAAACCAACTGAGACATGGTCCCTCAGATTCAGTGTTGCTAAGAACTTCCGAATGTCTTCCAAGGATGGCCTACCGTGCGAAAACTTTCCCACCAACGCCCAGCGAAAAGGAGATGCCAATCTGTCCGCCTCTTCCCTGGAAAAAATTACAGCAGCCTCGCCCTTATAGGAAGTCACTGGCTGGATTTGTATGGGTGAGGATGAAGGTTGGGAGAACAACTGAGAGAAGAATCTCCGTGCTGAAGAAAAGACGCCTAGCCCCTCAGCCAACGGCTGACGGGCAGCCATGAAGCACCACTAACCCTAGACGAAAAAGCCAGCGGCAAGGAGAAAAAATCGGAGCAAAAAAATTGTTGCTATTGAGGGTTGGATTAAGATTCTTTCTTTAAAGGCTAAATTTGATGTTATGATGCTACAAGTTCAAATGGACACAATTATGCATGAAATTGAGCAAGGGAGGAATGTTAATGTTTTTAACTCTTATCATGTGATTTGTGACTTGTGTGGAAGTTATCATGCTACTAATACATGTAGACAAGCACAAAATGTGGATTATTTTGATGAATTACAGCATTACAATCCTTGTTTTGATCAATATAGTGCTAATTGGAGCAATTCTCCTGCTTATGGTTGGGATAATCAATGTACATATAGTGATTATCCATATTTTTATGATTACCAACCTGAAAGTGTCCAATATGAATCAAAACCATCTTGGGAGTTGGCAATAGAGAAGTTAGCTAATGCACCTCTACCTTGGAGTTAGAAAGTGAACCATTAGCTAATGATTCTAATGCATCTTGGGAGCTAACCGTAGAAAATTTTTCTAATCAATTTGATTTAGCAATAGAAAAGCTAGCAAATGCAACTTCCGACCCTTTTGATAGGATTGAGGAAAGAATAGATGAATTAGCTTCTCACTTTGATAGAATAAATGAGTAATTGAATGCATTGTGTAAAGTTATTTCCTCTAATAATTTGCAAAATGATCCTAGCATGAATGGTGGGAATGTTGTATGTGAAAATAGGTTGCATTTTGATGAAAATGATGAATCTCAAGTGTGTTTTAATGAGCAAATATCCATTTCACATGATAATGTCTTTGAAACTAACTTTGAACCTCAAGAGGTGAGCTTTAATGACTCATTTTTCACCCATCTTGAGGAGTGTATAAAAAGTACAGGTTTTAAAGGTATTCCTGCCCAAGATACTCTCATGGCATTTCATTTGGTGAATTCTCAAGTGGTGCATATTCAAGGTAATATCTATGAAACACTTGGGATAGGTAAGTCACTTCCATTTCTCACATCATTAGATCATGTGGCTTTTGCTATAAAGTCACCATTTAATGATCCACCACGTCCAAAAATGGTGGATTTTTCGCTAACTAAGCCTGCTTGAAAAATGAGATGATATAGTCAAGCTAATGACTATAAAGAACTGCTAGTTGGGAGGCTAAGAATCTCTTGTTTTTAGTAAGTTTAAGCTGTTTAATTAGTATTTTTGTGTGTTTTATAGGTGGCAATGGCAATGGTTTATGCAAATGGCTTCAAGTGCAAATTAGCTTATAAGGAAGCAAAAAGGGAGTTTTCTTGATCCAATTCATGCATTTAAAGTGCTTAATTCTAAAGTTATATTGATGCATGATCTCATGTTTCAAGGTGCAATTGGTTGAGAAAACACATTTTTCATGTTTAAGGTGAATTTTTCTTGAAAAAAATGAAGAAATTTGAAAATTGGGTGAGTAAAAAATTTTTTAAAATGAAAAACGAAAGGAAAAACTGCAGAAATAAAAAATTTCTGCAGTAAATCCTGCCAATTTTTGGCCGGATTCATGGACAGATTAACAGGGGAAATAAACAACGATTTTTGAAGCTACTGCCTCATATCCGGTCGGAAATCCGGCCAGAAAAAAAAAAAAAAGCTTGTCCAGAATCCGACTGACAATTCAGCCGGATATCCGGCCGGAAACTGGCTGGATTCTGGCCAGTATTGCGAACAAAGAGGAATCCGCGCACGGATTCCTCATTTTCCTCCTTACTTCCTTCTTCAACCTTCACACACACTCACACCTTAAACACACAGTACTCCTAAAATTCATCTTTTCATCATCCAATCTCCAAACTAAATACACCAAAACACTCCCCTTTCCCTTGAGAGTTGATTTCATAGATTAAATTCCTTCAAAAACAAGTTTTAATTCGGATTTGAGCTTGAGAAGAACAAGGGTTTCAAAATTTTGAACTCTTCATTAGAGGCCGAATTGGAGTGAAATTTTTGGGGTTTCTTCACCATTTGCATCATTAATCATCTACCAACAAGTTTGAGGTAACAAATCTTCACCAAATGTTGTCATTTGAATTTTGCCAATTTTTAATTTTTTTTTCTATTTTTGGGCAATTTCGAATTTTTTCATTTTTTGAAGTTTGGTGCTTTACATTGTGCTTATTGAGCTTATTGATTATTATTGGTGATGTTTAACTCATGGGTTTGTGATTATTTGGTGAATTTAGCAATTTTTAGCTAATTTTGAGGATTAATTTGATTTGATAATTATTAGCTAAATTCTTGAGTTAATTGGATTGAAGAAAACTGTATGAGATTAAGGGATTGCTCTAGGATATTTACATGCTAATTTTAGAATTAATTTGTCTATCTCTTGATTTTTGGCATGTTTATTCTAGATTTTTTGGTGAAAAGTGAATTAATGACCGTTTAAAACCTAAAACTCATGGTTAAGGTGCTATTTAGCATTTAATTATGTTTATTTAGGTCATTAAGTTGGGAGTGAGTTATTTGTGTGCTTAAGTTGGTAGACCATCTCAAGGCCTCCTTTGCCAAATTGGGATGGGAAAACTTCTTTAACATCCCAAATTTCTATTATGAGGAGCTTGTTCGAGAATTCTATGCGAATGTGGAGGACAAGAAGGTTTTTCACTACGACACGGAAGTGATTACCAGTACAGTGCGAGGGAGAAAAGTTTGAGTCCATAGAGCTGATTTGGAGCACTATCTTCATGTTTCAGATGTGAGGTATACGGTAGATTTGAAGAAAGCTTTCAAACCCAGTGATTTGGACTCTTGGAACATGCTAGAGGCACTTGTACGCTTGGAGGTTGAGTACAAGGCTACTCGGAAGACCGGGCGATATTCAGTATTGACTTCATCATTTCCAGAATCGTAACGTCTTCTAATTTACCTATTTGCCTCCAACATTATTCCGAGGGCAAGTTGAACCAATGAAGCGCGCACAAGTGATATCTATTTCTTGGATAAAATGGAGCATGGCTTAGGAAACATCCAAGGCATTCCATTGGGAAGCATTATCACCAACCACATATGGGCTGTGGTTCGCAGTAACGACATCAAACATGCTTTCCCATATCCTCGATTCTTGACCTTTGAGTTTCAAAGGGTTGGAGTTGATTTTTCTAATGCTATCCCTACAGGTCTCAAGAAGAAGGATGCCTTTACACTGGATTTTTGCAGGTCTATTTTGAAGAGTAAAGACGTAGGTGGTCCTTCGACTCAAGGAGGTGCTCAAGGAAACATTCGGTACGAGGAGGAAGCTAAAATTGAACGAATTGAAGAAGCTCAAGGGGTTGAGACAACCACCCCATCGGTCTCAACTGAGCCGTCTTCCTCACGTCATCCATCCTCACCTCAAGACATTCGGTCGTTTCTGAAGAAGATAATGGATAAGCTGCTTTATGTCGAGGCTGAGATGAAGAAAAGTCGACAAGAGAACAAACGGAACTCCGAGCGTCTTTGTCGCATTGAAGACCAAGCTGGGTATTGAAACTCCTCCAACTCCACCCTCTTCACCTGACGAAGCGACTACTTGAGGGAGTGCTTGTCACCACTTGACATTGCCGCTGGCTTGTCTTTTATTTTCCGTAGTACTTGTGATGTTTACCTTTTTAGTGATTTTCTTTATTTCTTTTTTGTGAACTAATCCAAGTGATCTTCATCTCTGTTGTGGTATTAGTGATTCGGACTACTTAAGGTTGGAAATTCATCACTTGGACATGGATTCGGATTGCGCAAGTTCAATTGAGCAGTATTTTCTTTTACTCTTTATTTATTTTATTTTTCTCACATTGAGGACAATGTAAATTTAAGTATGGGGGAGGAAAATATTGGACTTGCATTTACTTGCCATGTGATGATATTTTGTGAATCTAAATGCTTAGAAATGTTGGAATTGTGTTTGAATTATTTGCCATGTGGATAATTTGTTTGAAATTGGGTTTGTTGGTAGGGAGTTTCATCCATTTATAAGGGAACACTGTCAAAATTTTTATAAAATCTTTTCCAATATTTCATTATGGCCCAAAATTCTTAAAATATATTGCATTTTTTTGCAAAAAGGGCTCAATTGTTCCAACCTTAAGTGTTTGATTCTTCCAATTGTTGAAACTTTATGTGTATTTGGGAAGGTTTAGTCCTCATTTAACTTGGAAATGGTTATTATGCAATTAGGGTTTTTACATTTTAGAAATTATATTCGGTAAAGTGAGGAAAATTATGTCTATAATTTTACATGTTTAATGAGATTTCTTCTCTTTACTTAATTGTACAAGTAAGTGATTGATATAGTCGATAAAGGTTATACTCCTCCTTTGATTATTTTTATATCATTTTCTATGAGGGAAAATCTATTTATTTTCTTATAAAAAAAAAGAGAGAAAAAATATATATATAATAAAAAGAAAAAAAGAAAAGAAAAGAAAGTAAATAAAACTTGTTCTACTCCAATGATTCTCGTACCGAGTAACCGGGGATTAGCATCTAAAAATGTCGATTTTCGCGTAAAAAGGTATTTGAATTAAGAGTATGCATAGCAACTTGAATAAGTGAAATGTTGAGTAACCGGGGATCTTCACTTAAAAGTGTCGATTTTCGCGTCAAAAGGCATTCTCACTATTTAAGTAAAATTAGTGTAAATAAATCCCTCTTAGTTGTAAAATTTTGAGAAAAGGATGATTGTAGGAGGAGGAATGCTATAAATTGATTATGTGATTTACTTATTTGTGAAATTAGGTTAGGGTGAGAGATTAAGTTTAACTTGTTAAATTAGGGTATAATTATCTTTCCTTTATTTGATATTATGAGTATTTAGTGTAATTTGAATACTTGTATAATGATTATTTTCAAAGTCTTGAGGAATTAAATTTGACAAAAGTGCATATATTGTTTATGTATGGATTGCTTGAAGACAAGCAATGATTTAAGTGTGGGGGAGTTTGATAAGTGACTAATTTATGCTTTAATTGTATGATATTTTA